CTTGGACGAATATTATGAGTTTATTTTAAGTTTCAATTGGTACAGTTCAATAAGTTCACCTGTTATTTTAAATACTTTATAAATTATACAATTTCCACTTATTTCATTTATTTTAACACTCGTGTAATTCTGAATATTCTCTATAAATGTTCAAATATTTTGTATGATACGAATATTATTTATATTTTTTTAGCACAATATGAATATTACAGTATTATTGCTTTATCTCGCAAATATCACAATATTATTAAATAAACTAAAACATGAAATACCTAAAATTCAAATTTAATAATACAAAAATTGAAAGTTTCATCGTGTTTCATTTCACACGATGGCCTAATGTTATTACGTGATCAACGTACATGTTAAAAATCGAATTAACCGATAGCATCGTAAAAGCTAGGATGCATCGTCCACTAAAATCGCAAGAATTTCTACCTAAGAGTTTGGTGATAAACTCTCTTTTCACGCAGTCATGTAAAGTATAAAATCCATTATGGCAGCGGATATGTTGTCATGAAGATTCGTTTTTATTTGTGGATTATGATGCAATTTACCTTTTTCGGTCGTCGTCTGGCAAGATGATCATAACGTCCTCGGCAGACGAAGGAGTAATCGGGGATAAGCGAAATGGCGCGAGGGTGCGGCGCGCGGTTGAAATTAAAAGCCTGGAAGATTCGCGCGGGGCACGAAACGACGTAATTTGCTCACGTGTCCCGTGTCATTGGCGACCAGCTCTGGTCATCGTAGCCGGATAATGCGCGGTAAATTCCGAACGATTATCTACGTGACTTACCGAGCTCAAAACTCACTAATGTACACCGAAGGTGTCGTTCGTGCCTTTGGAATTTTCGAAGCTGTGGAAAACGATCTTTTTTCAGTCGAAGTAAATTCCACGTTTCTTCGCACTCGTAATAATTTTCTCTCTTTTATCTTAATAATAAAAGATTTCATCATTTATTTTATGAATTTTATGATTTAAAGTTTGTAAAATTCGTGCAGTTACTAATACGATTTATAGTAGATTTCTATGTTCTTTATGAGTAAAAAAATATGTTTCCCCTTTTTAGAGAACGATATTTAGTTATTTTTCACTTGCATTTTGTATCTTTCTCTAAAGAATGTTTACCGTAAATAAACAATAATATTATTTCAATATAAGACGTTAACGAACGATAACAGATATAACGATGAATGATGTGTTATTTGCTGATTGTCGGTGGTAAAGACGGATAATTTGCATAGAATCGATTCCACCTCGAGTATGCACGTTCCATCAACGATCGTCTCGCACGATCCTTCAACTTCAATTACCGATTTGCTCAATTTTTTGCAACGTCTAGCACGATTTCCTTCGTGCAAAACAGTATGGAGTGGAGTCAAGTGAGATGATAGGGGGGATGAAAATTAAGGTACGATTGCGTGTCGTAGATGCAACGATTCTGTGTCAAACATTTTTAAGCACTCGATCCTTGTCCACGTAGAACGTCAAATTAGCTCTGGGACGTGGAAAAATCTAGCTTTGTTCTTTTCACATTACGCATACGCGTTCAAATTATTTCGTTAATATATGCATCGGAATATTCATCCATTTCCAATTATTAATGATTAGACTTTAAATGCGGATTTTTATGCATCTATTGGAAATTTAAGAAGATCTGCTCGATCTTCGTTCTTTCAGTTTTGTCGATAGAACTACAAAGTTGCATAAAAAAATACGCAGTCTGTCGATAAATTTCGTCGTATACTCAACGATCATTCAAATCAATTCCGATCAGTTCTAAACGGCAACCAAGCTAATACAGTATTTTTCTATCCATAAGCGACACTTCCGTGATTTGAGAGACTTCCGGTCCGATTGTCGGCAAACCGATGCAACTTTCTCGAGTCGTCAGGGCGTCGTCGCTTCCGACGAACGGATCAGAGAGCCACGCACCGGTCGGTCGATGTGGCTGCTGTGTTTTTTCACCGAAACGTTTTTTTTTTCTTTTTGTTTTTTTCTTTTTTCTTCCTTCAATCTGGCTCGAAGCGGCAGACAGAGAAAAAGTCTAACGTTGCTCGAACCCGTTTGCCCTAGATAGTGCGCGCGAGAGATGTCCACGCTCGCTCGCTCGCTCACAAACGCGTGCACACGCAGACGACGATCGCGGCACGTACGCGTTATGAACGAGGAGGAACAAGGTGCGTTGGTCACTGGGGCGTTGACCTGGCTGGACCAAAGGAGCGCGAGCGGAATCTCGCTTCTGCCGGGAGGATGAGAGCCGAAGGAGTTCGTTTTTCCCCCCAATTGCTCCTCCAACTCCCGTTGTCCTCTTGTCGTCTTTGAACGAATCTACTCGGTTGCTCTTCTGCTCGGCCGTTTGAAAGAGCTGTTGTAAGAGCTGATTACGGTAGAAAACTACATGTGTAAGTATTGTGAGTGACCGGTGTTTAGGAAGGTTATCGATTAATGAACATGTGAAGGAGAAGATTTGATCATTTTCTGTAGCTGATCCGATGTTTTATTTAACCTTCTCAAGATCAGTGGTTAAAATGAAAACTAACACTGTATGAAATATTCAAAGTGTAAATACTTACACTTGTAACAATTGTCTGCAGGGACATTTTTTAAATAATATTGCATAAACACGGTGATAATGCATCAGTCTAGTGATAATGAATACAATAATAAATAATTGATATATAATCGAAATTGTATAGATTATAAATTGTTAAACTATGTTAAGGTATCTTTGCATTTTTTGCGTTTACGAACGTCCCATAAATTCATAAACATTTACAGTCTGGCACGAGTAATCTGCTCCATCATCTCATGGCACGTTTTATTGAAAAAATTATACTTCACCTATTTTTTTTTTTTTTTTT